CGCAGGGGTACGCCGGACTGGCGCAGAGAGTGACCGTTTGACGGCGGATACGGCGGCTGGACGGGGATGCCCAGGATTGACAGTGTGTGGAAGGTATGGCTAGACTCTACAACGGATGGACCAAGGCATGGAGTGGGTGGACTTAGGGCAGGCTAGTGCAGGCCGACATGGGTCATATGTGGACCTAAGGGGCGGCGTGCCGGGCACTGGGCGGCACTTGTTACTTTGATTACGGTCGGGGTTTGCGGGACCATACCGGCACGGTCCGTTTTGCGGTCGCGGCTCGCTTGTTTACCGGGCTAATTGCTGTCGTCCGGCAACTCTGAGTCTGCGGGCTGGGCGCTGGCCGTGACGCGTCACAGCACGAATCACATGTTCGTGTAACCCTCGACACGCCTTGCCAGACAGACTCCCCCTGTAAGACTGCCGACAGACGCCCTCCTGCTGAAACTGCTTTGGCCTGCTCCAATCGGCTCGCTCCGTTCCCAATCATGGACTGGGCAGAGTTACCTTATCGAACCGCAGACGGCTGACCTGAGAGGCTGGGGAGAGCCACCGGCACGAACTGTCATACGGTCAGACTGTCTGACTGTCTGACTGTCTGACTATCAGACGGCCAGACGGCCAGACAACTCGTCGGCCGACGGGAAGCCGCGCCCGCCGCTGCCGGCGCCGTCAGAGAAAGTCTGATTGAATCTCCTTGACGGCTGAGGCTCTCCAGCTGCTGGGGTGGTTGCGGGCAGCCGCATGGAGTGACTCGGTGCCAGCTTCCAGCGCCGTGCAGAGCTGCCGGCCATGTCTGGGAGGCTGGCGGTGAGGGAGTGGCTGGCCCTCGGCGCGCCGCCGCCTCCGCCGCCGCCGCCGCCCGGCCTTGCCCCCAGCCGCGGCGTCAGCTGGGCAGCCGCTCGGCCGTCTCCGCCCCGTCGAGCCCCCCAGGGCGGGGGCGGGGGCGGGGGCGGCCGGCAGACAGGGGCGGCACGTAGTCGAGGCGGGGGCGGGGGCGGCAGGCACGTCTGGGTCGACATGATCGATATGGGAACGTCTGATCGCCGAGTTTTGCCGTTTTCCGGTGAGCGCGACACGGAGTCGATCTGTTTGGTCATTTTTCTTGTTGCTGCAACATACTCCATTATCAAAGCCGGTAAAATATTAATCAAAATAAACCGGCTTGTAAGATTGTTGCGACACACCGTCTGGAGCGTTATCTAGGCGTCTGTCTAGACGGTTGCGGTCGGACGGACGGGCGCGTTTCGCAGTTTCCTGGATCGGCCGTAAGACGTCAAAGCTGACCGTCAAGCGGTTTAGTTCCACACCTCTTCCGCCTGTTCTCACCGAACTCACAGCATCTTGGACAATACGGTGGACGAGGCCTCTGCCGATCCAGCAGGAGCGCCAGACATGCAGACCAATAAAACGACCAGCGACGGCGGCGCACCGACTGACCGCGCACTGTCGGCTCCTCTCTCTCTCTCTCTCTCTCTCTCTCTCTCTCTCTCTCTCTCTCTCTCTCTCTCTCTCTCTCTCTCTCTCTCTCTCTCTCTCTCTCTCTCTCTCTCTCTCTCTCTCTCTCTCTCTCTCTCTCTCTCTCTCTCTCTCTCTCTCTCTCTCTCTCTCTCTCTCTCCGTCGCTCTCTCTCCCTCCCTCACTGACTCTCTCGCCGTTGCTCTCGCTCTGTCTGGCTCGGTGTCGGTCGCAGTCTGCTGCGGCGGATAACGACTCGCGTGGCGGCTATACGCGATAAATAATCGTGTAATGACTATTATTATCTGCCAACGTACCGGCTGTACCGCGGGAGCCGCCCCTTGTCGGATTCTCTACCTGTCTAACCTTCTATACCTTGCCCTTTATCCTTTTTACGCGATCTGTCTTTTATCGTGTCTTTCTATCATCGCACAAGGTGACATGGATGCTTGGAATTTCGGGGATTTATAAAATATAACGGGATATATGGCAACTTTTTGGACGGTTATGTCGTAACAACTTTATTTTTTTCACTTGATAAAGTTGTGTCTATTCTACTTATGAAAAAGCTGTATTGAGAGAACTGGTTGTAACTCAGGTCTCTTTTTTTAAAGTAACGCAGTTCTCGGTGTGAAAAAGACGACGAAAGCATTGGAATTGGTTATTGGACACAGTTTTGAGCGGATAAATGCACACAATCAAACACCATCTCTATATTACTAGCCGCCTACCTACCACATCCCCCTTTTTCTGCAGTCAAATGCTGCATAATCCACTGGTCCGGGCTGATTTTTGTCGTATATTCGGCGGTCGTCGACAGTACTCGAGCTTTGTTGCATGGCTCTTTACCAATTACCCTTTATCAAGGGTCTCTTTTTGTCCAGGTATTGAGCGGTAGTTACCTACTTTTATGATAAAATTATAGCTGACTGACGGGAGCTGCTTTATGGCTCTAATTTTGCTATATTCTAGCAAAAATAAGAAAAGTTAACCAATGCTAAACTTTGAACAACAAAACCTCTTCAGTCGCTCGCTTTTGGCGGCACGGCGCTGATGCCCGAGGCAGAACGTTAATTATTTGCCGCCGCATGCACGGTAGCGTCTGGTCTGTGGGCCATTCGGGAGTTACGGCAAATGAAACCCTGCATAATGCGTGTTTTCACCGCGGCTGTGAACGGCGGCACAGCTGTGAGAGCGCGGCACAGCAGACCGTGCGGCGCCGGCGAGCCCGAGCGCTACCGGCGCGCACCGCCGCTTTTTGCCGCCGCGGCGCCCAAGGCTGGCTGCAGGCGTGCAAGGTGTGCTGGTATAGGTACATACAACCGGCGGCGAACGCCCGGACAATGGACCGACAGCGAAAAAATCGCCGCTCCAACAGCAACACTGTCCGCTCGAATCTTGATCGAGGATGAAAACTGTAGATGATTTGATAGCGCCAAGATCCTGGGAATAACTGGACTGTTCTGAAAAATGCTGCCTCCGCTTTCTGTTGCGATTATGAAAGGGGGAACGGCGGGGCGTCGGTGGTGGTAAAGACGTCCCGGAAGGGTGGAACATGTCACAGCTGGTGTGGAACAATCCTAGATCTCAAAAGACTGCTTTGATAGCGTACCTGGCTGGGTTTCGGCTGTGACGTCCGCTCCTTCCGCGCCAACTCGTGATCCGTCTGCGATTTGTTTGCGAGTCGTCTGCGATCCTTTCGCAATCTGTCTGCAATCTGTCTACGATTAGTCGCGATCAGGCAGGTGTGCACTGAAGTGGACGCTGCACGGAGGGGGAGGGGGTTAGGGGGTGGCTATTGCCACGCTAGTCCAGCTCCACCCACGCCACAGCCTCTTCCGCCCAGCTGGCCGGTCAGAGCGTCGAGAGCCTTCCACCACGGCTCTCCATGAGCTAGTACACTCGGGGGCAGAATGATGTTCCACCACTCCCTACCCATCGGGCGATCCCATGGCTCAGCACTGGCTGCTGTCAGCGTTGCCTGCCCTCAGCACTGCTCAGCACTGCATGCCAGTGCCAGTGCTGCCAGTGCTGCCACTGGCAGCAGCCAGTGCTGAGCCATGGGAGCTCGATGGGTAGGGAGGGAGTCGTGGAACATCAATCTGCCCCCGAGTGTACACAGCGCTCACGGTTCTGTTGGCGTTTGAAGTAACCGCCAGACCGCAGGCAACGGTGGCCCATGCAGCTTCCGGCGGACGTATGGAAATCAGATGCAAATCGGGGCGGTGCAACAACGGCAGTGGCGAACCAACATGCGCTTCCAGTCGCCGAGCTTCGTTGCCATTCTGAGGAGTTGAAGACGAGGATTGTGTAGCATAGTTTCACCTCCCTACATAGCGGCAGTGGAAAAGGTTAGCATGGCGGAAGTCACTCAACTCATGCTGTTGTTGGTTGCCGGGGGAGGAGAGTGAAATTCCGGCGTTTGCGGAAGAATAAGGGACAGACAGATGGTCACTGAGTGACGTCATTGACTGGTTTCAGCGTCTGTGGCACTGTCGAATAGTAAGCGAAACAGGAACTTACATTCAGGTGATGTGATGATGCGGGTGTGCGAATGTATTTTCACGATATTTGTTGTTTGATTACAGGCTTGGATTAATGCGGTCCTTGACGGATTCCTTTTCATTCAACTAGCTTCCTACATGTGCTTAAATGATGAAATTATTTACCCGGCATATTTAGCTGAGTATGCAATGTTGGCATAACCTTACGAACCTTTCGCTAACCAATAACAACCATGTTGACATCTACATACCCTCACTTGTTTGCTGGCTGCCATGCTCGTGTGTGGACGTTAGATATCGAGATATTTCGGCGAATGTGGTCAGGGTTCTTTTCTTCTATAATTTCTGATGCTCCTGACCATTCTTTTTATTTCTTCCCAGTTCCCTTTGAACGTTTACATTATCATAATGCACCGAGTCACCGAGTACGTGTCGTGCTGCTTTTGCTGATACTCTTTACCAAGAATTTTGTTATATTTTGAAACAATGGGGCACCGGGCAACGACAGTGGAAAACAGTGTATTTTGTGGATCATTATGAAAAGTTCGATGGTTTTGCTCGGGAAATCCAAGAAGCCTTTGTAACTCATGAGTCACGATAGGTTGTCTGCACAGTCTACATCTCACAATCTGTAGCATAGGTGTACTGAGCAACTATTGTCTGCAAAACGTCTCCAAAAGAGACGTTTTGCAAAGAGACCCGCAACGGGACGGAACAATGTCGGCGACATATAGAGTTCGCTTGTTCACTAACCAACACTGACTAGCCTGTCCTTTTACAGTACCTACTACCTTTACCTCCCATTTAATATGTGAAAGTTTTGCAACCACTTTTTACTATAAAGTTTTTAGTTTATAGTATAAACGTGCAGACGTTGCGCTGATGTTTTGTTGATATGCTTCTGGAATTAATACGATGTTTATTGGCGATTCATTTTATGCAACCGGCTTTTACCTTTATCAAACTGTTATCTATGCCGTAATACTAAAGCTTGTTTTCTGTCAGACTGACGTGTGGTGTTGTGCGCTGTTTCAGTGTCCTGCCTGCTGGGATCCGTGTCTGCCAGTGTTCTGCTCCTGATTGGTCTCTCTCTGGTCTGCGCTCGCCTATTCAGGATGGTGGTTGCCAGCTGGTGTGATCGGCCCGCCACCTTGGTCGGTCAGACACCGTGCCGGCATTACCTGCTCCAGGTCAGTCTGAGGTCACAGGTCACTCGCTGACCGGACTGGGTCGTACACGGGTCACCCGCTGACCGGAATAGGGGTCCAATAGGCCACTTGCCGACCGGGACCCGCTGACTGGACAAAGGTCACCCACTGACTGGGCAGAGGTCAGAGAGGTCACCGACTGACCGGGCAAGGGTCACGGAGGTCGTGTGGCTCCATATGGGTCGCGCAAGGGTCAATTGTAGGTGACGACACTGACACTGAGTGAATCTGCTAGCTATGGCTGCACAAATGCGCATTGCATGACGTATGTATGTATGTCCACACAGACGTTATACAACGTATACAAATAGTCCGGTGGTTCGAGAGAAATCGTGTCATCCTGCTGGCGAAATATACCTACGCCGTGGACTATCCACTGACAAGGCCGACCGGTGCAGTGGCTAGCGCCGGCACCCCTCGCCCTTTTCAGTCTGTCCGCATTACCGCCCACATACTCGTGGTCCGTACCGCATGGCCTCAGCGCTCAGCGGTGCAAAGTCTCAGTAATCAGGCAATGCTGACGGAGAGCCGTATTACTACAGCCCCCCCTCCTCCCCCGGCCCCGCTCGGAGGCCCGGGGTGGGACTCGGTCAGCCCCCGCCTACGCGGTTATCCGGTCTGTGTTTGACATTACTCGGGCATCCGCCGATGGCGCACAGAAGTCGTTTGTGCGGCCTCTGGGGTCAGACGGGCGGCCCTCAGTCGGCTGTGGGGGGGGAGGGGTCTGTCACACAGTAGGGGTCTGTCTGGCCGACGGCGGCGGCGGCAGCGGCGGCGGCAGAGGTCATTGACCCGGCGCGGGCCGGTGACCCAGTTTCTGCCGCGCGGCGGCCCGCGGCTCGTGATCTATGGAGGCCAGACGAGCGTCTGTCGCCGCCGCTGCCGCGCCTGCCGTTGCCACAGCCCGATGTGCGGAATTTTTACGGTCGTCTGCGTCGGTGTCGACGGCGCCTCGTCGGTCCCGATGTTGCGGCCGCGCGCGAAGGACATCTTCCGGGCTGGGTGCGAGGCAGTGGCGGCCGGCTGGGTCGTTTCCGAGGCCAGAGCTGGCTGCGACGAGGTCAGGCTGCCACTCTAATAGCACAGGGCGCCGAGCGAAAATCAATGCGACGCGCTGATGACATGTGATGACGAAGAAATTTCCCCGAACGGCGGAAAGTTTTATCGGTAGCGTGTTTGATCTTGGGCTGAAGGCTGTGTCGTGCAATTCGGGAAGTCTGCGGTGTATGTTCGCGTGTGTAGTGTTGTCTCGCTTTCCTTGTCTCCAGAGTATGGGGTAACGCGACACTGCACCAGCATACTGAGATACGTTTTCTTGACCATGTGGCCTCATAACTATAAGATAGCGGTCTTGCGCACCATTAGGTAAGCATTCGACAACTGGAGCGGCGAAGCGCAGGTCAGGTGCTTTTTACTGCCTCGTTGCAGAACAAATTAAATCCCCCATGAAATGAGTGCGCTCGGCGGTTATGACTGGACCTACGCCCATAAGTTATAAATACGTGCCATTATTGCGAGCTTATTACGTTCCACCTTGGTAACAGCGCTCAGGACTGGCCAGTCGATTCGACGAAGGCGCCGCGGTCGTGATGGCTCTGAACGTCCGGGCTCTCCCGCACCAGCCCAGCCAGTGACCACCAGCCGCCGGCGCCCGGCTGCGTGGATGCGCTAATGTCGCGCTCGCTTGGCGTTACCAGTAATGACGTCTGGGTATCGGCGGGCCTATTTCGGGCAGCTCGGTGGTCGTAGCGTGTCGCGCTGCCGGCTCGTTTGCGGTAGCACCAGACGGCCGTCGCCTGGGGCGCTTCGGACGCCGGCCTTGCGTCTCGTCTGGACGGTAAACACTTCGCGGCGCGCCGCCCGACTGGGTGTCTGGACGACTGGACTGGGCAGACTGGACGACTGGACTGAACAGACTGGACGACTGGATAGTGGACAACTGAACTTGACTCGAACTGAACGGCTGGATTGCGGACAGGACGACTGAACTTGCGAACTGTACAACTGGTCTTACTTCACGAATTGGACGGTCTGAAGGAGTTAAGCTGTGACAGAGATTGTGGGACGAGAGACGAGAAACTGCGCCATACAAGGTTCACGGTATTACCTTACCTCCTGCCAGACTTATGTCAGTCTCGTATGCGATTTCCGTGTTCGTCTTTCCTGTAATCGAGCTGCCTTCCTCAGAAAGCTTCCGTCAGCCTTTCCTTCTCAGCTTCCCCTGTTTCTCGAATGTCTTCCCTCGGCTCTCCGTTGCATCACTCCTGCAAGCGGAGCTCTGTGGCTCGGCCTCACCAGCTCGCCCTTTGCCTGCCATATCTCGGTCGTCTGAGGCCCCGGCCGGCGGCGGCCGCCCACACCAGCGGCCGCGGGCGGCGTGTCGACCGGCCGTCTGTCCCGAGCAGACAGGGAGGCCCCGCGCCGCGCCACACGGGACCGGCTGGCCGCTGCACCGGCCGCTCGCACGACTGAGCGGGGATTTCCGCCGCCCGCTCCGGACCGCGCCGTCTGTGGAGCGCGCTGCGCCGCGGCGGCTGTCTGCGGTTTGCACGATATCTGCCTCCTCTGGAGATGGGGGGGGGGGGAGGTAAGAGTCACCCCGGCCGCCGGGGGCGGGGCTGTCGCGCCGGTGCCGCACCCGCCCCTGACGGCCGGCCGCGCTCCAGGCGTCGTGACGTCAGAGGTGACCGCCGCCAGTGACGTCATGCGGCTGGATGACGTCACTACAGCGACGGCGGCGGCGGCGACGACGTTTGGGGGCCGGTCCCGGCCGGTCCTGCGGCGTGCTGCCGGCGCACGATCGGCGTCCGAGAATACCACGCCGCCCAGCCGGTTCCTGGATTGTAGCCTCACGTGCGTGAACCCCCGGCTGCGTCATGCCGTCTTGGCACGCGTCTGCTCGCCGGCAGGGTCGTCGCCAGAGACGCGTCTGGTCCCCCGTCGGTCGTCGAGGAGCTAGCGGCCAGCCCACAGCGGCGATATCAGAGTGCTGAGCCGTTGGCGTGCGCGCGGCCGCGCCGCGGAGCCGGCACGGTCTATACAGGGACGTGGTTATGATGGATGAGTCGCTGTCTGCGAATGCAGCTGGCAAGGTCAATGGATTTCAGAGCCAGATTACGATCTAGCCGGGTAGTTGAGTGCAGAGCCCTCCGGATCGTGCGTGTTATTTCGCGGCCGGCGGGCGAGTGTCTGAAGAGTCAGGCGCGTACTGAGAATGTTATCGTTAGAATCGGGGGAAGTCTGCGGCTGGTAAACGTTCCTGGAAAGACGTCGCCGCCGCCGGCCCCCAGGTGCTGCCGTGTCCTTCGGCGAGAGAAAGGCAAACGGCGCGGGCGCCGCGTCATGTTGTCCATGCACCGCCTCTGTTTCCCCGCAATCAGTGCTCGGTATGGGAACGGGGAATTGCTCCATTCTCAACAATGGCCCAGACAGAACATGCAGTTTACCCGTAAACTGCAGATTCCTTGAGAACAGTTTTTCGTCTCGGAAAGTGACGCCGCTCATTGTCGGTGTCTTTGCACCGGGCCTTGCGGTCAGCTGGTTCGAAGCGGGCCTGATAGTCGTCTAGTCTGCCCGACGGCGGGGCCGGGCACCTTTTCCTGTCTGGGACGGCCGCCAGTCTCGGCTGAAGTGCTCTATCAGACACTCGAGTGGGCGGGGAGGGGTGCGAAACGCCGAGCCGATTGGCGTCAATGACCTCGGGCTGATCTGCGTTTTCGTCTGGCGTCTGAGCCGCTGGGGGTACAGGGGGGGGGGGGGGTGCTCGGCTCGAGAGGCACGTCTGGGAGGGGGCCGGGGCACGCCGTCGTATGACGTGAGCGCGCCTCTCGAGAGCTGCGCCACAATGCGGGGCCCTGTGGGGCGGCCGACTGGTATCGGTCGCCGCCGCGCCGTCCCGGCCAGACGACCGGCGGCCGCTCCGGACGGCGGCGGCGCGCCGGTCTGGAGGTCGAGTCCGCGGCCCCGCCGCCGCCGGACGAGCGCAGACGAAAGGTGCCGGTTATCGGTCACCGCGCCAGCCGGCGACTGGTGCAACTGCTTCACCGCGCCGCGGCGCCAGACGGCCCGACCCGAATTCACGGCCGTCGCGGAACGGCGAGCGCCTCAGCGGAGTTCAACCGCACTCCAACCGCAGCTCGAACGCTCCTCGGCAGCGCTTCGACCGCGCTTTGACCGCGTTTCTCTCGTGCTGCGACCTCGCTCCCATCGTTTTCTGACCGCTGTCTGAACCGCTGCTCATCGAACGCGCTTTCCTTGGAACTCGTTTGCTGCTTGCCGCTGATCAAACGTAGCTCTGCAAGCTCTAGATACTGGGCTGTAGCATACTCTCACTAGATAAAGGCTTCGTCTTTTATCAGATGCTGGCAGCCATAAAGAAAATGGTTAGAGCATCGCTTAAAAAATCATTCTTACGCTGCTGTCCCACGTGCCGCGGCGTTCAAAAGTCGTTTTTGGGGGGTATCGTCTGCCCGCCGGTCGGCCCTTTCGCGCCTCCGGGCGTGTCGTGCGGTGCCGACGCGGCCGGACGGCAGTCTGCGGCGGCGGCCGACGTGCGCCGGTGAAAAACGGAGGCCGTTCGCCGACCGTACCTTTTGCATCATTCATGGCGCGGTGGCGGCGAGCCGCGCCGGCGGCGGGTGTGCGGTGCAGCCGCGGCGCTAATGACGCCGCTCCGGCGCGCTGTGAGCTGCACCCAATTACGGCCGCCGTGACGGCGGGTGTCTGTGCCGGCCAGCGCTGTGGCAGCGCCGGTTTACGGCGCTGGCGTCACGTTGGGAGCGGCCCCGAGCGAGGGGCCCGCGTCCGGGCGGCCGGCGGGCGCGCCCTGAACCCAGGGCTAACGGTGAGGGAAAGGTGGTCGAGAGGCTGTTAGAACTGACTCGACCCGACATAACCTTAGTTCACCTTGCCTGCTTAAATGGACAAAGTTGATTGTCATTTACCTGATGAAGTTTGTTCAGTGGTGGTTGGTATATGACCAG